GGAAGAATGAATGGCCAAAGTTAAAGATAGAGCCGGAAGCAAAGGGGGAAAGATATACAAGCTTCAGAGGTGAATGTTACCAAGGTTGTTGGCGACACTTCAGATTCGGATTCTTCCAGTTATTCTTGTCCCGCACTGTCGTCTGTTTGTTATGCCGACTCTACGGAGTGGATGCTTGATTCGGGAGCTACATTTCACATTTGCCCTAAGAGGGATTGGTTTACCAACTTTGAGGAGTTGGAGAGAGGAGACGTGGTGCTCATGGGGAACGATCACGTTTGCCCTATTAGTGGGATTGGCTCAGTCAGAATCAGAATGCATGACGGAGTGACTAGGAAATTGAAAGAAGTGAGGTTCGTGCCGCAGTTGACGAAGAACATCATTTCTCTTGGGACTTTGGAGGCATCCGGCTATAGAGTGATCTTAGAAGATGCTAGTTTGAAGGTCATGAAGGGGTCCATGGTGGTGATGCGAGGTGTCAGGGAAAATAACCTATACTATTTGAATGGCAAGACAGTTACAGGGGGTCTGGCTGCTTCTATCACCACAGAGGAGGACACTACCACACTATGACACATGAGGCTTGGACACACAGATAAAAAATCCCTACAGTCATTGGCAAAACATGGGCTATTGAAAGGTGTAAAGACCTGTAAGATGGAGCTGTATGAGCATTGCATTCTTGGGAAGAAGACTAAAGTGAAGTTTGGCACCGCAATTCACAACACCCAAGGTATATTAGACTACATTCACACAAATGTTTGGGGCCCTTCTAAGCACACATCGCTTGGTGGGGCAAATTATTTTGTCACTTTCATTAATGACTATTCCAGGAGGAATTGGGTATATACCATGAAGCATAAACATGAGGTCCTGGATATATTTGTGGAGTGGAAGAAGAAAGTGGAGCTGCAGACAGGTAGAAAGGTGAAGACTCTTCGTTCAGACAATGGTGGAGAGTATAAGAGTGATCCATTTCTGCAGTTTTGCCGGGATCACGGCATTAGAAGACACTTCACAGTTAGAGAGACACCGCAACAGAATGGGGTGGCAGAGAGGCTGAACCGTACCTTGCTGGAGAAGGTGCGATGTATGATGACGCAGAGTGGATTGGCTAGATCTTTTTGGGCCGAGGCGTTAGTTTATGCGAGTCATCTCGTTAACAGGTTGTCGTGCACTACGATAGAGGGGAAGACCCCTATGGAGCGTTGGTCTGGTTCTGTGGCTAATGATTATGAGACGCTTCGGATATTTGGGTGTCCAGCTTATTTTCATGTTAGTGATGGGAAGTTGAATCCGAGAGCGAGGAAGGCTATCTTTGTGGGATTCAGAGAATGTGTCAGAGCGAGGAAGGCTATCTTTGTGGGATTCAGAGAATGTGTCAAAGGCTTCAAATTATGGGATCCACAAAACAAGAAGATGGTCATTAGCAGAGATGTCACATTTGATGAGGCGTACATGATGAAGCCTCGAGTTCCTCAGCAGGTGGAGGAAGATCAGACAGGAAGGATATTGCAGCAGGTGGAGGATGATGTGACTCCACCCACTCCAGTCAGCACTGTGTCCATTGAGACTCCTACAGAGGTGGCACTGGAAGATACAGTTGATGGTGAGGCTCAGGAGCAGGGTCATGCTCAGGGGTCCATTGCAGCAGGCAGACCGAGGAGAGAGATTCGTCGGTCAGCTAGATACGATGATGTCATGGTGGCATATGCTTTATCTGTGGAGGTCGTTGATGATTTTATTCCTGCCACATTCAGGGAGGTAGAGTCCAGCTCTGATTCCATTAGGTGGAGGAATGCTATGGAGGAGGAGATGCAATCTCTTCAGAAGAACGACACTTGGGAACTTGCACAACTACCTAAGGGAAAGAAAGCTATTGGTTGCAAGTGGGTGTATGCTAAGAATGAGGGATCTTATATTGGGGACATTCGGTTCAAGGCTAGATTGGTTGCCAAGGGATATGCACAACTTGAGGGCGTTGATTACAACGAGGTGTTTTCACCCGTTGTGAAGCATTCGTCGATTCGGATACTATTGGCATTGGTGGCACAGCTGGACTTAGATTTGGTCCAAATGGACGTGAAGACGGCCTTTCTACATGGAGACTTAGATGAGGAGATCTACATGACACAATCTATGGGGTTTAAAGCTGCAGGAAGGGAAAATTTAGTGTGCAAATTGATGAAATCTCTTTACGGACTAAAGCAATCACCGCGACAGTGGTACAAGAGATTTGATAGCTTTATGATTGGCCGAGGGTACACGAGGAGCCCTTATGACCCGTGCGTTTATATGCACAAGCTACAGGATGGTGAGCATATTTATTTGTTATTGTATGTTGATGATATGCTCATAGCTTCTAGGAACACTTCAGCTATTGACCTGGGAGAGGCTAAGAAGATATTGGGTATGGAGATTGAGAGAGACAGGGTGAAGGGGAGATTGAAGCTTACACAGAGGAGTTACTTGCAGAAAATGCTGAAGAAATTCAGTTTTGAGGGCAATACCAAGGTGGTGAGTACTCCATTAGCTCCCCACTTTAAGCTTTCAGCTTTGATGTCACCAGTTTTAGTGGAGGATAGGGACTATATGTCCAAAGTTCCGTATGTCAGTGCAGTGGGTAGCTTGATGTATGTTATGGTGTGTACGAGGCCAGATTTGTCACAGGCAGTGAGCATGATATCTAGGTACATGCATAACCCCGGGAAGGGGCATTGGGAGGCCGTGAAGTGGATTCTACGGTATATTAAGGGTACCGTGGATGTTGGGTTGATATTTGCGAAGAGTGATGAGATAGGGCAGGATTGTATTGGCTACGTGGATTCAGACTATGCCGGAGATCTTGACAAGTGTCGGTCCACTACAGGTTATGTTTTTATATTGGCTAGTGCACCGGTGTGTTGGAGATGCACTCTTCAGTCTACAGTGGCGCTTTCTATTACGGAGGCGGAATATATGGCGATGACTGAAGTAGTGAAGGAGGCTTTGTGGCTTCATGACTTGTTGGATGATTTGGGGATTGCACAGGAGACCATTCAGGTACATTGTGATAGTATGTCAGCTATCTATTTGGCGAAGAACCAAGTCTACTATGCACGCACGAAGCACATTGATGTCAGATTTCACTTTGTACGTGACGTATTGGATGATGGTGATGTCACGTTGGAGAAGGTCCACACTAAGGATAACCCTGCTGATATGTTGACCAAAGTTGTATCAGGTGTGAAGTTTGGTTATTGTTTGAACTTGTTGACTATTCTTCATTGTTGAGGCCGTTGGCGGCCATTTGAATGAACTACGTTCGGCTTGATTCCTTGGGCAAGAGTATACGTAGGCAGTCTTGCAGATGCAGTCGGTTTTGGTGTCGGCTCAGTTTTTGGCAAACGTTCGCCGAGGTGGAGATTTGTAGAATTAACAGCAGGTCGACCGCCGCTGCGGGTTTCGGTTGGGTTCTGTTTCCAGACCCGTTTCGTTTGTGAGTTGTATATAAACCCTAAACTCGTTTCTAGGGTTAAGCTTTGGTGATTTTGAGCTGCTGAAAGGGGATTTCTAGGGCTTCTATTGTTGGAGTCTATTGGAGAGATCAAGTGGTCTTGTAAGAGGGTTTTGGGTAAGATTTGTAACCCTAATTTGTATTCCGCTTGATTTTCATTAGTAAAGCTTCCACCTCCTTGCCCCGTGGACGTAGGCACATTGCCGAACCACGTATATCTTGAGTTCTTGCTGTGATTGGTTGGCTTGTGTTCAATTGTGATCTATTGTGGTTCTTGTGTGTGCTTTTGTATTTGTCTAATCGGGCTTCCGCGGCGCACAACAGAAAGATCATCTAGATAATGTGAGGGATGAATAGAGGATTCAAGTTTTTTAATTTATTATTTCCCCATTTCTAGGTTTAAAGGTATTGTATTTTATTGCTTTTAGAGAGGATTGAGGTTCAGTGGCAGAAAGCAGATGATGAATTAAATAATGAAGTTTTCTTTAAAATAGATGTCTTAGTCATCATCTCTTGTATCTTTTTCTGTCTCTATATAGGTTTCTTCTGCTTTTTTATCCTTTACTAATTAGCATCCATATTTGATATATATTATTTCTTCTCTTTTCACAAAATCTCATCTCTCTATCCCTCACAATTGAAACCCTAAATAAACTGGATAGAAAAATTGAAGATATATGGAAGAGAATTAGTTGAGATGGTTCAGACAAAGTGCAGGGGACCATTAAATGGGATATGAAAAGTAATACAATCACATTTTGGAAGACAAATTGACTGTTAAACATAAGGAATTATGGATTGAGGTACTCAAAATTGATATGTGAGTCATTGATTAAACCAATAAAACAGATGAATGTAGAAGTAGATTTCATTTACCTGATCCCCTAATTTTGGGATAAAGGCTTTGTTGTACTGGTAATATACTGTACAAGAAGTCATGCAATGTGCAAAATATTGACCAGAATTACATGATATTTGGAATTACATTCATGTTGCATAGTTCTTTTTAATAAAGAAACTATTTTTTGTTCTTGAAGGACTTGTAAAGAAAGAAACTATTGTTTAGTTCTTGAAGGACTTGTGAAGGTAAATGGAGGTTTCGGAGAAGGTCAATGTAAGACAGCCTCCTTTTAGCGTGCTGTCTTTTCAGTTTTGCTACTTCTTTTACATGTGGCCGCATGATGGTGTAGATTATAAGCAAAATTTGATCAGTTTTCATTTTTTAAGTCTTTTCTTTAATTTAAGATGGCATCATGTAGCTCTATCTGATAGCCAATTAGCCAACTATGGGGGTCCATAACCACAATAATTATGTGCTCTTTGAATCATGAAATTCCAAGACTTGACCTCTCTTTTTCTGTACTGGGAACCAAGGTAAACAATATTTCTATTTTCTAACATTGTAAAACTCTCTTTTTCAGTTTGTGAATATTTTAGTCATATTCTGTAATTCATTTCCGCATTTCTTTTTTTTTCCTAATGATTACACTTTCTTTATTTATAGTAACTTTTGGAATAAAAGCTCGATGGCTTGCTCATAAGGAACTTTTTCCCAGAGCCATTGTATTCCATATAGAAGAATGGAGAATTCAAAGGGAGTCCTCTTGATGCAAAATGAGAGGTATGCCATCCTACATCATTGTACATAAAATGTCATTTAAAGCTTTTTATGCAAACACAGAAACGGGAAAAGGCAACTGCATTTAGGAGAGCTGTATCATTGTGATTATAATGTCAATACCTAGAATCATCTGTTTTAATTTAGATACATTATTAGACTTTAGTGGTCTTATTAGAGGGAGCCAGGGTATCAATGCCCGTACTTAATTTTTGTTTTCTTCTCTTGCGGCATGTCATTTGTCACCTCTTTCTTACTGTAAACAGCTAGTAAATGTTAGTTTAGTATTTTTGTTTTGCATTTGTTTGTGAAATGCTTTGTTGGTAACATCATTAGTGAGTTGAATTTAGCTCGTCTCATGAGTAGATTACTGCCAGAAATGTCTGATTGTTGTTGGGTGTTTTAGCTGTCTGAATCTTTATATTGTCATGATTGTTTTATGTTTACTATGTTGTTCAGGTCATGTATTTTCTGGAATCTGTATTGTGGTAATCTGGTTGCTTTGTTCATTGCCATTATTATTTCTTTGGAATCAGTGATATCACTTTTTGTTACTGTGTTACTTACTTTGATAGTAATCTTGCATTCTTGTGAGAGGCCTCAATAGAATAGTTATTTGAGTTTTTGCATGGGACTGTTTAGGAGCTATTAGAGTGTATTGGATGTCAAACTTTTGTGTTTTTTGATTTGGTCATTGCTGTGATTAGCTTTTTCTCCTAGACTGCAACCTCGAGATGACTATCTTTGTCGGCTAAATAAGGTGATATTTCTTTCTTTATTTTTGTATTATTTTTATTATTTTGGATTAGTAGTTACATTTAGACTTCATGAGGAATAGTGATTATTCGGGTGACCTTGAAGTTTGCGTATCTACACGGGGGTTCGAAGGAAAAATAAACAGACTTCAAGCTCACCCATGTAATTACAGCCAGTAATCCAAGATTACCTGTGCAGTTATGCAAATTTTATCATCACCGGTGTAATTACATTATAGTTCAGGATGCCTAATGTGATTAGTCCTCTTATTTTTAAAAAGCAGAACATAGTCTGGTGCAGGCATTGAATCTCGAATTTCTGAGAGAACCATTTCTTCAGCCAAATGTTTTGAATAATTTGCTCTAAAATTTGTTCTATTGTTGAAGTTCAGGATCTTCGTAGAGCATCAGACATTGAGATGGCTGTGTAAAAACCTCATGTTCTGCAACTCTTTGGAAAGCTTGAGGTAACTAAAAGAGAATTTCTGGAATGTTGTCTGTTTTTTTTTTCACTATGAAGCATACAAGGGCTAGTCTCTAATGAATCTAATCCTGACCCACCACGGATAGCATGGGCAGTGCAGGTGGTTTGGGGAGGCAGTGGTAATACTTCTAATATACCTAGTGTTGTGCGCCGCGGAAGCCGATTCGACAAGTCAATAGCACACACAAGAACCAATAATAGACCACAATAATACAAGTAACACCCAATCACAACAAGAACACAAGATTTACGTGGTTCGACAATGTGCCTACATCCACGGGGCAAGGAGGGGGGAGTTTTACTAATAGAAATCAAGGGGAATACAAATTAGGGTTACAAATCTTACCAAAACCCACAAATAAGCCTTCTTAATTTGCCACCGAAGCCGATTCGACAAGTCAATAGCACATACAAGAACTAATAATAGACCACAATAATACAAGTAACAACCAATCACAGCAAGAACACAAGATTTACGTGGTTCGGCAATGTGCCTACATCCACGGGGCAAGAAGGGGGGAGTTTTACTAATAGAAATTAAGGGGAATACAAATTAGGGTTACAAATCTTACCAAAACCCACAAATAAGCCCTCTTAATATCTCCAAATGGCTCCAATAATAAAAGCCCTAAATCTCCTCTTTTTTCAGCTCAAAATCCTCTCCCTTAAACCCTAAAACGAGTTAAGGGTATATATACAACTCCCAAACGAAACGGGTCTGGAACTCAGAATTAGCCCTAACCCGCTTCGGCGGTCGACCGTGAGGGTCGACCGCGCAGATATCGC